ACCTCCCCCGTGGACTCACTACTGGGCCACTGCATGGGAAAGAGGACCTGAGGGCTCTCTACCTCCCCCGTGGACTCACCACTGGGCCACTGCATGGGAAAGAGGACCTGAGGACTCTCTACCTCCCCCGTGGACTCACTACTGGACCACTGCATGGGAAAGAGGACCTGAGGACTCTCTACCTCCCCCGTGTACTCACTACTGTCCACACAGAGGACCTGAGGACTCTCTACCTCCCCCGTGTACTCACTACTGGCCACTGCGTGGGAAAGAAGAGGCAGCTCCCCTCCACTTCTGATGAGATGTGGCAATGATGCTGAAAGATGGCTGTCTTCCAACTAAGCCTATAGGGGCCCTTAGGCAGTACGTCACTAAAAATCAAATTATGGGTTTATTCTAACAAAAATATCTTCTGCTGCTTTCACGGTTCTAGTCCTAGAAAGTATTTTCCTAAAGCCATATCCTTTCTTAAAGTGTCAGGTGTATGTAAGTATTCAGTGCCTGGGAAGAAGTCAAATCTATCCTGAGCACTATTCTATAGTGGCCCTTTAAGTCAAGCTCTACACTGTTTTAGTCACATCTGCAACCTACAGTGAGGAGGCATGAAGTGGAGCTCTCACGCAGAATTAGAATTAGCCCCTGTATATAAACCTCTCCTGAAACACTGATTTCACGGATGCATTCATAACAATCACAAATCATTAACAGTTTAGAGAAGAACAAGTATTTCAATCATTTGAATTAATGATAAGCATATAAAAATTTACTGTTTTGAGCTGTGAAATGTGCTTATCACAGGGAGATTTTCAAATTGGACTCTTGTTTTATAAAAATCAATTAAATCCCCTATTTTTACCACACACAAATTTTTTCAGAGGTTAATAAAACTAAGTTTGGAATATGGAGCAAAGTCTATTGCAGCCTTCAACTTAAGTCTTACATTCAGTATAAAGACAGCACTTCAAGGAGACTTTTCACCTGATTATTAGAATTATACTAACAGAGAAATCCCAAGTATATATAGAAAATACTTTAGCTAATGGATATCAGAGAATTTCTCAGGTAAGACTGACCCCAGGGCTTCCAAAATAAAGATAATGTGAGCCAAAAATGCTAGCTGGTAGCCACAACGGAGCCCCAGCGGCACAGTGGCGCAGAACTCGGCTGCTAACTGAAAGGCTGGCAGTAGCCACAATAAAAAGGTACAAAGAAACAGGAGAAATTAATTTCATTACTACATTTATCTAACCTGGTGTGTCTGTGCAGACGAAAGCTAACACTGGAGGTCCACAGCTGCTATCTTCACAAGGTCCTGCTTACCAAGCTGGCCTCTGGGAACTCGGCTTTCCTCCATTCCCTAACTGGTAAGAGTGCTTTGCTGTGCCCAGACCGTCTGTGCAGCTGTCATTTATGCTCAACGTTTACTTTCCTGCTGGGAGTCTGGAGTTCGGGTGTGTGCAAGGCAGAGAGTGTCTCCATGATCATTTCCCAATAAAAACCTTGGCTGCTGAGTCCTTAATGGGCTTCTCTGGGCAGAAAAACTGCACATACTGCTATACTTTTCACTGCTGGAGATGTGGCATGCTCGGTGCGCCCCTCATGGGAGGCAGAGGGAATCAGGAAGCGCTTCTCCAGCCTCTGCCTGTCTTTGCCCTTGACGACCCTGCCCTGTGTCCTTCTGCTGTAACGAACCTTACATTTCAACACGTAAGCAACATAAAACATTATTTATGAGATACTTCACGTTTTTTATTTTGCACTAAGTTTTTGAAACCTGGGATGTATTTTTATGTTTACAGCACATTTCAATTAGGACTGGCCACATTTTAAGTGCTCAATAGCCACACGTGGCTTACGGGCACCATACTGGACACCACAGACACAGATGGCCGGTAATAAACTGAAGAGAAAAAGAAGGCTGAAAGGGCTTTCTCACCAACTACGTCTTTTGTATAAAACACTGATTTGGAGTTACTGGAAACAGTGAAACAGCCTTTGTGTAGATGATTATTATTTTTCAATTCTGAAAAGTTCTCAAATTAAAAAGTTCCAGAAACAAGCTCAGGTTGACAACAGCAGCAGCACGATTTACTCACGGCAAATACCACGGCTGAGCTTTCGACATCTCTGACTGCCTGAGGAACTCACTATGCCCAAAACAACTCAACACTTTCCCTCTCTGTGTGATTTTCATTTCTCAAATTGGTCAGACGCAAGACTACAGGTATTGCTGACTCATTCCTCCCTACCCTTCATTGTGATTAGTCACAATCTTGTTGATTCCATCTCTTCCTTCTCCTCACTGGCAATACTCTGATTCAGACCTTCCTGTCTAACTAAGCAGCCTCCCAACTGGCCTGTCTCATCTCAAGGACAGCTCTCACTAGGTCATTTTGTTGAACAAACAAAGTCTATCAACTAAAGTCCTGCGTATTCTGGCTTTAATCTACCTTTCTGGGCTCATTTCTTTCTGCTCCCTATACCACTCCTTGTGGCTCAAATTTGCTCTAGACCTATGCCTTTGTCCATGCTATTGCTTCTGTTTGGAATGATAACCTCAAATTAACACTTCTACCTTCTAAAACTACCTACCCTCAAGGATCAACTCAAAGGTCCCACCCTCCAGGACCACTTGCTCCAAACTGATACTATTTGCCAGAAGTAACTTGGATAGTTAACAGGAGAGCACTTCAAGTCTCGAATGGTCTTTACCGCAGTCAAGCCTCTAATGGTGGCATTTGCGTATCTGTCACCTAACCTAAGTGACCTTCAGCCCTTTAGGGCAAGGACAGTTTCATCTGTTTTTGTATCTTCATAGTGTCAGACACAGCACCTTGCACGATAAACATTAAATAAACGCACGAAAGGTGGGCAGGAAGGCTGGTTGGCCGAACTGACTTTAAAATCGTAAACAGAAGAGTTTAGCTATAAAACAGCCTGTGGGGTCATACAGTTATAATTTCAGCACACAATCCATGGAATAATAATAGAGTCTCTTGAAATATCAGTGAAGGAAAAAACTATTACTCCCCAAATTTCTCAAGAAAAACATCTGACAATAAAATAGCTCAGTGTTGACACGTTTGTATTTACAAACTCTGACTCTGTACAAATCATACAGCTTGCCATCATACCATCTCCATGGTAAAATATTTGTTCTCTCATGACAACAGATAAGACGTACCACTCAGTTTTAGAATATATGTGATAAGAACATTCACATAATCAGCTATATCCAGGCAGTAATTTTCTTCATATAGGAGATAAAGCTGAGTAAAGGGCCAGTCAGAGAGGCTAATCAACCTTGTCCAAATGTAGATTAAAGTTAAAGGTCATTCAAAACCAAGTCAAAAACAGTGGTAATTTTTGAAAGCAGTCTCCTGTCAAAGCTAACATAATATGATCTGTATTTATGACAAGCACAATACACAAAACACATACTGGGAGGTACTGACAGGTCATTTGGGCTTTTAGGAGAGAGAAAAGCAAAAGACAGACAGCGGAACCGATTTTTCCTTGCCTAATTATTGCGAGTCTGAGGGAAGAATCCTAACATCTGTCCTCAAAGTTTCTCTACTTTTAAGCTGAGTCAGTGTCTGTATATGAGGTGTACGACAGTCTTTAATATGAAAACGTTCCCACGTGCTCACAAAATAGTAAAGACGACTCTTAATAAAGGAAAAAAAAAATTCACTACAAAACACACAACCCTTCTGGAGGGGTATCTGGCAATAGCTAACTAAACTATGTACGCATTTACTTTTTGACCCAGCAATCCCGCTTCTGGGAATCTACCCTGAGGATATACGATGCAATGTGGGACCCTAGACTGGATCCTGGAGCAGAAAAAGGACATTTGTGGAAAAAAGTGGTTACATTTAAATAAGGTCTATAGATTAGTTAATAGAATTGTATCAATGGAACGGCATAGGGGAACTCTGCACTATTTTTACAAGTTTACATATGTCTGAAATTATTTCCAAATAAAGTTAAAAAAAGAAAAAAACAGGGCACAGTCGGCCTATCTAAATGTCTGATGACCATTGTTCTGTGGACCCCTACATTATACAGCAAGCTGAATTAATACTACTGTGTCATGGATTGAGTTGTGTCCCCTCAAAATATCTGTCAACTTGGCTGGGTCACGATTCCCAGTATCGTATGACTGTGTAATCTGATGTGATTCCCTTATGTGTTGTGAACTCTATCACTATAAGGTTATATGTGATCTCCTTATGTGTTGTAAATTCTATCACTGTGATGAGGTTATACCAATGAGGTTGACAAGATTAGACAGTGTCTTAATGCAATCTCTTTTGAGATATAAAAGAGAGAAGCGAGCAGAGACACATGGGAACCTCACACCACCAAGAAAGCAGTGCCGGGAGCAGAGTGTGTCTTTTGGACCTGAGGTTCCTGCGCTGAGATGCTCCCAGACCAAGGAAAGACTGATGTATCACAAGGACCTTTCTCCAGAGCTGACAGAAAGACAAAGCCTTCTCCTGGAGCTGATGCCCTGAATTCGGACTTGAAGCCTACTGGACTATGAGAGAATAAACTTCTCTTTGTTAAAGCCATCCACTCATGGTATTTCTGTTGGAGCAGCACTAGATGACTAAGACATACTGCAATTATCTTTAATGTAGAAAATCTTGAGGAGAAGCATTTTACACCTTTGTAATACGTTAGTGCTGCAATTAATGTGTTAACGTGCTTTCTCTCACCCACGAAGATCAATTCCTTGAGAACAGGGACCAAGTCTTAGTTACTTCTTTATTGTCTGTGATGACCACAGCTTTTGGGAAAAGTAAGTGCTCGGGAAGTGTATCCTGAGTGAATGAAAATCACGTAACACGTCGCAGAGCTACGGAAACTATCTACTTACGTTCCACAAAGGACGTAAAGAGCATTCTAAACCTGCTCAGCCGGCTGCCTTCATCTGCCCACATCCGGATTACTCCAACGCCTGTTTCAAGCATTACATCGTTGGCCACGGTGCTGCAAAACTTGGCTTTCAGATTTTCAATAGAACTGCTTCCGTCATAGACTGCAATGAAGTTTCTTTTGCACTCATTTGAGTGCTCCATTTGATACTCCAGGAACCTCAGATAAATCTGGAACATTAAAACAACAACAGTTTTTAAAAATAAAGACTGCTTTGAATTTTTCCATTTCTCTTATCCAGTCAACACGGCAGACTTAGGTGAGTTATGACAGCTGACAGAGAAACGTTTAACAGATAAAGGCTGAACACTAAATGCCTAAGTAACGTCTAAAATGAATGGTCCATTTCTCTGGTTGTCTTAATAGTGGAACCAAGCATTAAGGAATGTAAAGTTTGTGTTTTGTGTCTAAAAACAAGAAACTTTTTGCTCCATGAGGAATACCTGTCTTAAACATTTTCCTCATTATAAAAGCAATCTCACGGTACTGACAAATTGGGAAAATAAAAGAATCATAATTCTATTACTTTAACAATCATCGGGAGTTTTTGGTAAGTTTCAGATTTTGTTCACCTTTTTTTAAACCTAAGTTTAATCGTAAGATACAAAAAATACATACGTTCTGCTTTTCCTATAACCCATCAAAAATGATTTCATCTTATCCAGACTCTTCAGTCATTCACATGATGTCCAATCGTTTATTTACCCAATATTCCTACCGTTGCACATTTAAGTTGTTTCTTCACCCCACAGGTAAAAAATTCAACATCTTCAGACAGAAAGATCTGAACTGTAGCATCGAAATAAACACTCTCAGTATTGTTAGTGTTTCACACCCTGTCTTTACATTTCACGGGCAGCCTGCTACCTGGCACGCACGAAGTTAGTTCTTCAACTACATGTGGCCCATTCCTGTTTGAAGATTTCCTCCTTGTTTTCTTTAGATTGTAGGCTTGGAAAGACTGTGAGCATGAATCTTTAAAAGAATCCAATGAAGCAGGTATTGTTCTTCTTTATAGGTGGGGAGGGTGGTGGCGCAACGGTTAAGTGTTCGGCTGCTAACTGAGAGGTTGGTGGTTCAAATTCACCCAGTGGCTCCACAGGAGAAAGCCCTGGCGATCTGGTTCTAGAAAGATAACAGTCTAAGAAAACCCTATGGCGCAGTTCTACTCCGTCCATGGGGTCGCTGTGAGTCGAAACTTGACTCGACGTCACCTAACCGCATATACACAGAAGCACTACTGAGAGAGACATTAAGGAACTTGCCCAGGGTCAGGATTTGAAACCACGTTGGTCTGATTACAGTGTCTGTTCTTCCTTTTGGCCCTAACTGCTCATGTGACTCTACAATTGAAATAAAACTTTGGTGAGTGAAGAATAAAGATTTCCTTTGAAACCAATACCATTTATAATAGCCCCTAAAGAGATAAAATACTTCGCAATAAATCTAACCAGGGACGTAAAGGACTTAAACAAAGAAAACTACAAAACACTACTGTAAGAAACCAAAAGAGACCCACATAAATGGAAAAACATACCAGGCTCACAGACAGGAACACTCAACATTGTGAAAATGTCAATCCTACCCAAAGTGATCTATGGATATAATGCAATCCTGATCCAAATACCAACAGCATTCTTGAACGAGATAGAAAAACTAATCCTCAACTTAATACTGAAAGGAAAGAGGCCCTGGATGAGCAAAGCACTATTGAAGAAAAAGAACAAAGTAGGAGGCCTCACACTACCTGATCTCAGAACCTACTATACAGCCATCGTAGTCAAAATAGCCTGGCACTGGTACAATGACAGAGACAAATGAAACAGAACTGAGAACCCAGATGTAAATCCATCCACCTACAGTCACCTGATCTTCAACAAAGGCCCAAAGTTCATTAAATGGAGAAAAGACAGTCTTTCTAACAAATGGTGCTGGCAAAACTGGTTGTCCATCTGTAAAAAAATGAAAGAGAACCCATACCTCACACCATACACAAAAACTAACTCAAAATGGATCAAAGACCTAAATATAAAACCTAAAACAATAAAGATCGTGGAAGAAAAAAATAAGGACAATGCTAGGAGCCCTAATACGTAGCATGAATACAATATAAACCATAACTAGCAACGCACAAACACCAGAAGATAAACTAGACAAATGCGGGCTCCTGAAAAGGAAACACTTATGCTCATGAAAAGCCTGTGCCAAAAGAGTAAAACCAGAACCTACAGACAGGGAAAAAAGTTCTGCTTATGACATATCTGAAGGTCTAATCTCTAAAATCTAGAGAACACTTCAACACCTCAACAACAAAAAGACAAATAATTCAATTAAAAAATTGGCAAAGGATGTGAACAGACATTTCACCAAAGATGATATTCAGGCTGCTAACAGACACGTGAGGAATCCATTAGCCATAAGAAAAATGCAGAGCAACACTACAATGCGATACCATCTCACCCCGACATTACCGGTGCCAATTAAAGAAGAAAACAAAAACAGAAAATAATAAATGTCGGAGAGGTTGCGGGGAGACTGGAAGTCTTATGCAGTGGGAATGTAAAATGGTACAACCACTATGGAAAATGGTATAGCGACTCCTTAAAAAGCTAGAAATACCACACGATTTATAATCCCACTCCTACAAATATACCCTAGAGAAGAGCCATCACAGGAACTGCAATGCACATCCATGTTCACTGCAACATTGTTCACAACAGCAAAAAGATGGACACAACCCAAGCGTCCACCAACAGATGAATGGACAAACATATTATGGTACGTACACACACCATAACACTGCGCAACAGTTAATAACAATGACTTTGAGAAATATCTCACAATATAGATAATCTGGAAGGCATTACGCTGAGTGAAGTAAGTCAACCATAAAAGGACAAATATTGTGTGAGGTCATTTTACGCTACCCCTGCTTTAACAGAGGTTTTTGTCATTTCTTGGAGCCCTGGTGGTGCAGTGGTCAAGCGCTTGGCTGCTAACCAAAAGGTCAGCAGTTCGAATCTACCGGCTGCTCCTTGGAAACCCTACAGTTTCTACTCTGTCCTATAGGGTTGCTATGAGTCAGAATCGACTCATCGGCAATGAGTTTGGTTTGGTTTTTTTGGTATTGCCGAAAAGGTTTATTATATTTACCCCATTGTTTACCATTTGCTTCCCTTCGTTCGTACAGTTCCGAGCTTCATTTCTCTTTTACCGAAAGAACTTCTATCATTTCTTTTATTGCAGACTTGGAGGTGAAAAATTCTCTCAGTTCATTGGGGTATGTCTTTATTTTGTCCTCATTCCTGAAAGTATATTTTTGCGAGACATATAATTCTGGGTTCAACTTTTTTCTTTTTGAGCATTTTAAATATTTTGATCTACTGTCTTTTGGCTTCTGATGAAAAATCCAGTCATTCCAACCACTGTTCTCTTATAAAAAACGTTATCATTTTTCTCTGGCTGGTCTCAAAACTTTTTCTTTATCTGTGGTTTCAAGCAGTTTAATTTCTATGTGTCCAGGCCTGGTTTTATGTTTGTTTCTTTTTGTTCATCCTGTTTGGTGTTCACTGAGCTTCTTGAATTTGTAAATTTATGTCTTTCAGCAATTTTGGGATTTTTTAGCATTTATTTCTTCTAATATTTTTCCTGTATGAGCTTCTTTTTCCTCTCCTTCTGGGACTTTAATGACACAAAGGTTAGGCCTTTTGAAATAGTTCCACAGGCCCCTGACGCTCTGTTAATTTGTTTTCTATGTTTTTTCTCCCTGTATTTCAGATTAGATATTTTCTGTTAATTCATCTTGAAGATCAAAGATTACAGCCTTCAGCATGGATTACACCTTAACATAAAAAAAAACAAAAATCCTCACAATTGGACCAATAAGTAACATTATGATAAACGGAGAAAAAGATTGACGTTGTCAAGGATTTCATTTTACTTGGATCCACAATCAATGCCCATGGAAGCAGCAGTCAAGAAATCAAATGAGATACTGCACTGGGTAAACCTGCGGTAAAAGACCTCTTTAAAGTGTTAAAAAGCAAAGATATCACCTTGAGGACTAAAGTGTGCCCAACCCAAGCCATGGTATTTTCAATCTCCTCATATGCAGGCGAAAGCTGGACAACAAAGGAAGACCAAAGAATAATTGAAGCCTTTGAATTATGGTGTTGAAGAATATTGAATTTACCATGGACTGCCAGAAGAACGAACAAATCTGTCTTGGAAGAAGTACAGACAGAACACTCCTTAGAAGCAAGGATAGCAAGACTACATCTCACATACTTTGTGCATGTTATCAGGAGGGACCAGTCCCTGGAGAAGGACATTGTCTTAGGCCGGGTTCTCTAAAGAAGCAAAACCAGTGAAGCATATATTGGTGTATATATATATATAGAGAGAGAGAAAGAGGTTTATATCAAGGAAATAGCTCACGCAGTTGTACAGCATGGAAAGTCCTAAGTCCATGGGTCAGGCATCAGGCTGGATGCTTCTTTGACTCACGCAGCTGCAAGGGCTGACGAACCCAAGACTGGCAGGTAAGATGGCAGGCTGCTGGCTCAATTCCCAAGAACTGGAGGACAGATGATGATGAGCTGGATGCAGGATCCAGAGATAGCAAAAGCCAGCAAGCTTTGCCAGAAAGTCCACATATACTGGATGCAGACCACACCCCAAACGAAACCTCCTTTCCACTGACTGGCTGCCACAGCAGATCTCATCATGGCAGTGACTGCGTTCATTACATAGCTGCCAAACCACTGAGAATCGCGGCCCAGCCAAGTTGAAACACAGTCTTAACCATTAACCATCAGGACATCATGCTTGGTAAAGTAGAGGGTCAGTGAAAAAGAGGAAGATCCTCAGAGACGGACTGACATTGTGGCTGCAACAACAGGCTCAAACACAGCAACGACTGTGAGGATGTTGCTGGAGCAGGCAGTGTTTTGTTCTGTGGCCACGGGGTTGCTAAGAGTTGGAATCTACTCGACTGCACCCAACAACAACATGGAGCAAGGTTGTAATAGTTGCTTTAAAGTCTCTGACAATTCCAGCGTCTGGGTCCTGTTAAGGTTGGCATCTGTTGTCTTTGCCATTCAGAACTAATCAGACTTTCCCGACTGCATGAAAGTAACTTTTAACTATCCTAGACATTCTGAATATAACGACTCGGGATCCTGTTAAAAAAAAAAACCCTGGAGAACGCTGATTTTTGTTTGGTTTCAGCACGTATCTACTCAGTTACATCCAGGCCGCAATTCTGTCTCACTCTGTGTGGGTGGTGGCTCCCTCAGAAGTTCCGTTCTCAAAGCCTTTGTTACGCTGTTTAGGTTTGCCTCCGTCATCAATCACTCAAGTATTGGTATCACTTATATTGTAATTTGGTTCTCAACACCTCTGCCATATTTCTTTGGTTGTGTTCCACGCACATGCAAATCAGGGATTAAGTTCATTCACCTCTGGTCAGAAAAACAAGCTCTCCCCAAGGTTTTAACCGCCTATCCTCTTTCAAGTTCTGAGTAACTTTTAGGGTGTTGAGAAAGAGAAAAATAATGGGATCTGCCCGATACTCTCCAGACAACATCATCTCTTTTTCCCAGTTCCTCTGGCTAAGGAGATGGGGTTTCTCCTGGGGTTTTAGTTGCTCCTGCAGCTGGTCTCATACTGGTGCTGGCCTTGGGCAGAGCCAGGAGAAAAGAGAAAAAACAAAGCAAACAAAGACAGGGCCCTGCCCCACTCTTCAGTTTTCACAGGCTGCTTTTCCTTATAGCCTTTTCTCCCAGAGTGTCGACTGTGCCTCGTGTGCAGCTCCATGAGTCAGCTCACCCTCAGTTCCAAGCCAGGAGGTGAAGGAAGGGGAAAAACTGAATCTTGCCCCGTTTATGGGTCACCATTCAAGTTTTAACTTCCCTCCCCAACCCATCTGGCTAATGGTTAGTTTTCAGAATCCTCAGGTACTTGCTTTTTCTGTTTTGTCGATAGGTTTTAGTCGTTACCTGTAGGAAAAATAGACTATAGTGGGCTTAGTCCATCTTGGCTGGTTCTGGAAGTCAAGACGTTTATTTTAATGTAGTAAAACTGATGAATTTTTATCTCTATGAATTTTGTACTTTGCATTTTCTGTTTATTTTTAGTAGACATGTCCTATTAACTAGTCTCCTATATTTTATTCTACAAGTTTTAGTTTTGCTTTAACATTAAGAACTGATAATTATGCCAGGTCTAAGACAGAGATCTAATACTGACAGTTAATTATTACAGTGCCGATCATCAACAGCCTCTCCTCCTGATCTGGAATACTAGGTGTGTTATGCACCAGATTTCTATTCAAGTGTAGTTCTGCACTAGGGTACTTTATTCAGATTTATTAGTTCTGCATATCCCAGTGACAATTTCATACTGTCCAATCACCACAACTTTATCTTAAAGATTATGTTTCTCTACTCTGTTTTTATTCAAAATTGTCATGGTTCTTTTTGACCCTTTTTGTTCTGCTACGTGAATTTTAGAATTAGCTAGTCAAGTTCCACAGAAAGCCTTACTAGGATTAGGTTAAAATTATTTTCATTGACTGATTAATTTGGAAACAATGTTTTTTGTGATACTGAATCTTTCTATCCATGAAAATGATGTCTCTCCACTTTTTTTTTTTTTTTTGTCTTTCAATATAATTTTATAATTTGCTCCCTAAATGTTCTACACATCCTTTTATATTTACTCTTAGGTACCTTATGATTTGTCCTTATTGTAAATGATGTTTCCAAAAAGTGCTATTTTCTAAATGCTTCTTGCTGGAGTACATAAAAGGAATTGATTTTTATAATTAACTTTTCTTTCTTCTCTCATCCTGTTGGATTGAACAGAATTTCTGAATAACAATGAATAAAATACTGAAGGTAGACATTATTGTCTTACTTCTGAGTTTAAAGGAAGTGTCTCTAAGGTTTCACTACTAATTATGGTGCTTATTATAGGGTTTTAATAGATACTCTTCTTCATGCTGAAAAAGTGACCTTCTATGTTGGAGTTACTGAGGTTTTTTTTTTTTTTTTTTTTTTTAAAATAGGTTTTAAGTTCTGTTGAATATTTTTTCTGGATACACTGAGATATACGGACTTTCTCCTTTAATCTGTTAATCTGGTAAACAACAGTATGAGAGTTTCTAATATTAAACTATTCAAGAATTTCTGAAATAAAATTCATTTGGGTCATGAGTTCTAAAAAACATCTAAGGTTTACTTTGTTATTGCTTAGTTTTTAACTTTGCATTTTATAAGCACTGACCATACCACCAACTGCTATCAGGTCCTTTCTGACTCAGAGACCCAACCGTGTTCCACAGAACTTCCAGTGGCTGATTTTTCAGACGTAGATCACCAGGTTCTCTTTTGAGTTATAAACACTACTTACTGGCTTACAGTTTTCCCCTCTCATCCAATCCTTACTTGGTTTTGATAGAACGGGTTGGGGAATGTTCTCTTTTCTTCAGTTTTCTGAAACAGTTTATGTTAACACGTTCCTTGAGTGTTTGGTAAAACCTAGTCTGACCAGTTTTTCTGTTACCATATTTTAACTACTAAATCAATTTAACTGAGTAAAGGTTTATTCAGGTTTTCTATTTCTTTTAGTTAATTTTGGTAAATTATATACGTATATAAAATTATATATAAACATATTCATGGAGATCTGGTGTCACAGTGGTTAAGACTCAGACTGCTAACCAAAAGATTGGCAGTTCGAATCCACCAGTCACTCCTTCCAAACCCTATACGGCAGCTCTACTCTGTCCTGTAGGATTGCTATGAGCTGGAATCGACTTGACGGTAACGGGTTTGGTTTGGTTTTTATATAATATACCATCAATATTTTTACTCCTCTGATTTAAAGTTATCACTCTTCATTTCTAGTTCATAAGAATTACCCTATGTTTTTAAAAGGTTCTTTCTTGTATTTTACCTAGCATTTCCAGGAGTTTGTTTGCTTGGCTGCTAACCAAAGGGTTGGTGGTTCATGGCCACCTGGAGGTGCCTCAGAAGAAAGGCCTAGCGATCTACTTCCCAAAAATCAGCCATTAAAAGCCCCATGGAGCGCAGATATACTCCAACACGCATGAGATAACCATGAGTCGGAATCTACCACTGGTATGGTATAATCCATCATATCACCCTAAACGTGAATCTGATTTTAATGATTTGTTAAAGGTATGTTCCCCTCACCCTTATGTTCTCTTATCTCTCTATATACATACACAAAAGCAGAAAGTAAAAGTAGTTAGTGATCATTTTCAATCTGACAGATTAACTTAAAAAACATTCTTCTCTGTAGTATTTTCTCATAAAAGCGCTACATAATCAGCACAAAACACGGTAAGAACCCAGAACTAAGATTCAACGTATCTGTGTTTGGTTTTGACAATGTTATCCAGCTCTGTGACTCTGGCAACACATTTTAACCTCTCTGGTGGCCTGTTTTTCTTCTCCATAAAAAGGTTTTATGGATCTATGATCATACTGATCAAAAACTGCACTCACAAATTAGGAATCTACAGATTAAAACAACCTTAATACACGTGCTATATTCCAGAAAGTTATATATTACACCGTTTAACAATGCTGGAACCTCAGTAGATACTTAATAAACTAAAATAAAATCTGAGTCATAATATCAGTTCATATAATCGATAAATATTTGCATTAACCAAAATAACACACTACACAAATCATGTCTTATTACATTCTTCTCTGAAATTACTCAATACATCAACAATACCTTAGCTTTCGGAGTAGCTTTAATTGTCCATATGCAATCAACAGCTTGGCCAGGCTTTGTTTTTTCTTCTTGTTCTACCTGACTAGAACGCACTATTCCATCAGCTCCTGAGAGCTCAAACTGGCAATCTACAAAGAACAAATGAATGACATTCAAAGGAAAGTAAGATTAACCAAAAACACCGTGAGAAAAAAGAGGTGATATACTAAACCTGGGATGGGGTTTAAAATACCTCCTAGGTAAGTAAAGTCTGGATCTGCAACAGAAAAAAGAAGACAATCATCGGCACCGAGAATTCTAAGTTACTTCAAGGCTCAACGTCTTAAGTTCTGCCTAAGGCTTCAATGAAGAACAAGGCAAAAGAAAGCAGCTCTCACTGACGGAAAGCACGGACTTGCTGAGCATATTCAGGCTACGCGTTTGTAGGATCAGTGTTTACGTAACAGCTACGATTCTGTCATTAGTAATTTATTTGTGCTGCCTGAAAGCGCCTATCAACTGTCCAAAGCAGGAGCAGGTGCTCTACCCCAGTGAGCTCTTGCTGTTTTTCAGTGTCAAGGAAATGAAAGACGAATAGGTTATTCACTCACAGGATGTTCTGCCTGTGAAGTAGTTCAGAGACGTTTGAGAGCCAAAAGTTTATATAAAAATGGCTGATCTGATTAAACTGGTCAGATATTTGATTTTTATTAACTGAAATAATCGATATCTTGGTGTCATAAAGACACAAAATCTTTTGCGTGAATCAGATCTTTGAAAATAAGTTTCAAGTAGTTGGAGGAAAAAACACAAACTGGACTTCCGAAACAATCCTCTAAGTTATTTCAATAATGTTTTTAAGTATTAAAAAGCATACTCTGGGAACTTTTCAATGCTCATGAGACTAACATCCAGAAAATAAAAAAACCCCACGGCCGTCGAGTCAAATCCGACTCACAGCAACCCTACAGGACAGAGCAGAACTGCCCCATAAGGTTTCCAAGGAGCGACTAGTGGATTCGAACGGCCCATCTTTTGGTTAGCAGCCTCAGCTTTTAACCACTGTGCCACAAGGGCTCCGTAATGTCCAGAGGATGATGTAATATCCCATTTTACAGATAAGAAAACTGAGTCAGAGAAAGATTAAGTGGTTTTCTCGTACCAGCGGCACCGCCAAGATCAGACTCCTATTCTCTACACATCTGTCCTTTGGAACTTCTCCCACTCTACTGCGGGGGTGCCTTTATGTGGGTCAGGATCCCAAAACTTTACCACGATAATTAAAAACAAACCAACATTTCAAAAAATTATGCAATGTGTACTTTGTCTAAGTCAAAAATATGACTATATCCGATCTTATTTAAAGTCATGCATACAAAGTAAGTTGTCTAGGTGTTGGTAAATCTGGAAGAAATCTATTAACAATGGTGAGAAATCAGCATTTTTATATGAAATTCTCTAAGCTACTGGCGGTATTTGTTGAGACAGAGACTCTTAATGGATTCTTACTTCCTGGAAGTAACTGGGATATAATTCCAGTAACTTCAATGCAATAATGACATAGATAGATAGCTGCCGTCTAATGATAATATCCCAAAATTCTTGCCTAGATATGAGGAAATTCTGGTTTTTCTCCCAATGCTGTTTTAAGATTTAAATTTCTCTGCAAAAGAGCTGAAGTGTCTATTAGTTGTCCCCTTTTACAAAGGTTGAGTTTATTAAGTTAAAAAAGAACAGTCTCTGAGACTTTCTGTAAATTAAGCTAACATTCAAAAGACAAATCTCATCTTTGGAAAATACTATCTTTTTGCCACTGAAGCAACACTGAAAAATTCCCATAAGTAAAAAGACCAGACTTAATGGTTTGATTGAGACTGGAGGGAACCTGGAAGACATGGCCGCCGGGCTCTCTGTTAGCCCAAAACTAAAATCATTCCCGAGGTCAACTCTTCAGACAAAGACTGGACTATGGGACATAAAATGATACTTGTGAAGAGTGTGCTTCTTAGCTCAAGTAGATACATGAGACTAAATGGGCAGCTTCCGACTGGAGGTGAGACAAGAAGGCAGAGAGGGTCAGGGGCTGGTTGAATGGACACAGGAAATCCGGGGTGGAAAGGAGGAGTGTGCTGTCACAGTACAAGGAGCCCAACTAGGGTCACATAACAGTGTGTGCATAAAATTTTGTATGAGAGACTAACTTGAATTGTAAACTTTCACTTAAAGCACAACAATAAAAAAAAAAAATTCCCATAATATGTCTGCTGACAGGGGAAGAGTTTTTTCCTATGTTGTTCAGGCATTAAAAGCAGATTAATAAAGTTGTACATATAATGTGATCCTAGTTTTGTAAAACAAACAAAATACATACAGAAAAACATCTGAAGGGATACACACCAAAATGTTAAAACTGATTTTGTGTATACATGGGTGGGACTGTGGATAATTCATTTTTTCATTTTGATGTGTCTGAATTATTTAAAAATTAAATTTCTTGTGTCAAAAAACAAATAAAAGTGAAAAGATCTTGTAATTGTTATACAAAGTTATTTTTCATCCTGTTTCATTTTGTAAGCTCTTTAAGGACAGGAAAAGTAACTTGTACATCTCTGGGCTTCCCGTTTAGGGGTATGTCTACATTCTTACACCAGACAGGGCTTCACAGCTGCAAAGTGCTTTCTCATATCCCAGGGTAAGTAAGACAGATAAAAAGGGCTGAATGGTGGCCCCCCAAAAGATATGTCCATGTCCTAATCCCTGGAACCTGTGAATATTTCCTTACATGGTGGAGTCAATATTACCCTACATGGTAGATGGTATATTACCTTACAAGGTAGAGTCAATATTACTCCACATGGAGTCAATATTACAAGGTAGAGTGAATCTTACAAGGTAGAGGGAATCTTCCCCTACATGGTAGAGTAAGTATTACTTTACATGGTAGAGTGAACATTACTTCACATGGCAACAAACATGGCTAACTGAGAATTCTGAGATGAGAGGACCGAGACACAGAGAAGCTGATGTGACCATGAAGGCAGAGTCGGAGGGATGCAGCCACAGGCCCAGGAATGTGGGGCAGCTACCAGAAGCTGGACAGGGAAGCAGATCCTCCTCCAGAGTCCCTGGAAGGAGTACGGTCCTGCCTGAACTTGGATGTCTGGCCTCCAGAACTGTGAGAGAATAAATCTGATGTTTTAAGCCCCCCAGTTTGTGGTTATTTGTTGCTGCAGCCTCAGGAAACCAATGGGTAGGGATTCCCTGTGTCTCACGGCCATTAGGTGGCAGAGACAGGATTAAAAAAAAAAAAAAACAGACTTTTTGATTCCAAGTGCAGACCAGTATTCTTTCTATTGCTCAATGTTTTCTAGAGATTCTTTCTTCAAATGAGTAGTTAATTCAAGCAATCCAATCAGAAAAATCTGTCAAAATCATTTTTGATGGGGATTATGAAAACAAGATGATTTGCTGGTTTAAAAATGTTATCTCGATGTTTTTGGCTTTGTGTGTATGCCTTGAAACAAAGAAATCTAAGTGAAAAATGTTAATACATCTTTGATATGTTTCAAAGTTCAAGTGTTATGGTCCTATTTCTGATTTTTGTTAAGTTTTTTGCTTGTTCATGGACTGCTTCCCTTTGACCTTGCTGACTTCTCCAAAGCCTTGACTTGATCAACCTGACCAAATTCTGTTCTCCAACCTTAAGATTCTAAATCCTCGTGTGAGATACCTAACCAACTGAAAAGATAATTTATTCTTCACCTGGAATAAATGAGTATTTTGCTCGAAATCCCAGTCCTTCCAGTTCCTCATCAGAACTAAACTTAATCCACATGAATCTGCCCGTTGATCTAATTAATGGGGGGCTCTTCATGCCACAGTAACGATCTATCAGTGGAGAGAAACCGAAAGGCCCATCTCGAACTTCCAAGTGATCAAACCGACATTCAAACGATGGTTCTATATAATAATGTTCATCAAAGGTCAACTCTATTCTTTGCCGTGGAGCAGCTAGAAAATAGAACAAGCAAATTAGGACAACACAAACAAGAAGGAATATAAATGCACTGGTACAAGTGACACAAGCAAAAAAACTGGTCTTTTACTGCTGCAGAGACAAGAATAATACTTGGCATTAATTGTTACGTAGCAAAGCCATAATAAATGTTACACTTTACATTAATGGTAATGCTATCCTTCATAAAACCACAGCAATCTTTCCCTCTGGCATCTGTTACACCCAGTAAGGGATGCCAGTAAGTTTAAGAAAGCTTCTTATGAGGGAAATTTCTCATACACAATGATGTACCTGGTTGAATTAAACTCATAGGAGATTCAAACTATTCTTAGGAGATTCAAAATTCCTATAAAATTTCAAGTATTATTTTGTTTAATGGTCCAATATTCAGGAATATTTGTAATTATTAGAGTCTAATTCAAACCTATGTTTAAATTTTATTCAGATTGGCTTAATTACAGCATTTAACCAATATACTAAATTTTACAATAAAGTAAAACTTCATTCAATAAAGACAGAAATCTGTCAAAATACCTTCCAAAATGTAGATACATTCCTTGTTTGGTGGATATGAGTCAGGATAATTTGGGGAAGCAAAATGACCTCCATTGCTGGTTCGAACCCAAATGCCACACTGTGTTGCAGGAATGTGTTTGATTCCAATGTTTTGTCCATCTTAGGAAAAAAACAGCATTTAAAACATTAATGACAGCCAAAGAGAATAGCATTTTTCCCTTTTCTCATCAACTTCCACAATTGTCCACTCTATATTACAGAGATATTTTTATAGGAACCTCTGCCGTATTTAGCACAACAAATTCAATATAGTAGAAGTGAAAGAAAGACAATATTTATGTTGGGCTGGCTTGAAGACTTGCAACTAGAGACAAATTTGCCATGTAAGAGAACGGGCAAGTAAAATGCTTAGATTTTACAATAGCAAAACCATGTGTGAAAATCTAGTAAGTCAATATTCAGTTCTAACATAAAAATAGAAGAATCCCACAATGAACAAGTGCCTCCTTTGCCATGAGATCAGAAGAACTGGATGGTGCTCAGCTACCATTACTGAACATTTGGATCAAAGATTCTACAGAACAATCCTAATCAAAAGGGGGAAGATGTAGAACAGAATTCCAAATTCTCATGGAATCCAGACTTTCTGGAGCCAAGGGGGCTGGATGAACCCCTGACACTATTGCTCTGAGATAATCTTTAAAACTTAAACCAAATATACCTCCTGAAGTCTTCTTAAAACCAAACAGTGGTTTAGCTTGACTAGTAAAAAATGTCTGCCTTGAGTATTATGCTCTTTTAAGATCTACATGGGATCAAAGTGACAACAGTAACTTGAAAGATTAGATAGGAACCTCAGAAGGCAGTGAGTTTATTACTGGGGGAGGAACAACTCAGAAAAGGAGAGTGAGAATGGTTGCACAACCCGAAGAATGTAATCAATGTCGCTGAATACTACATGTAGAACTGTTAAACTGGTTGAAGTTTTGTGGTATATATTCTCAACAACAAATTTTTTTTAAATAAATAAGATCTCAGGAGTTTATTTCTGATAATGGTACCCTTATACTTAGTTTAACAAAAATGTCAAGTAAGATGCAAAGCTTACAGAGGGATTTTAATTAAACAATGTAGATTGAATATATACAACATTTAGCTCTGCTCCCTCCTGAAACTTCACTTCAACAACACAAAAGGGATTTTTTTTTTAAAAAGGCATAAGCTCTAAGTACAAAGATGAAGACACAATAATAACAACTGGCAGTACTAAGGGTCTCTGGAAGTGAAGACTATTTAAATTAGGCTTTTCAAAAATGCTGATTAAAAATCTGTTTAGAATCTAATCTCCAACAGCGTCTTCTACTCCACAAATCTAGGCAGCTGCTGCCCCATCACCATGTCAGAAAACTGGGCTTATTTCTTTGGAGGAGGTAAGAGTGGGTTTTTTAATTAGAGGACACCAGGCATAGTTCAGTTTGAAAACATCCACATGAAAACAGGGAAATCAGGTGAATATTAATATAATGAATACTCCCAGCCCTCCTTCCCCACGGAGCCCCCACAAAGACTGGCAGTCAAATACAGAGCCTCTAAGCAGGACATGAAAAGATCCCTCTCTGGAGACTCTGATCAGTCCCAAGAAAAGATTCAAAGATGCAAACTGAAGGGTGGGCTCCCCAAACGTCAGGTTGCTCAACAGTGAGGGCCACAGTAAACAAGCCCCACCTACGTTTGCAGAGATCTGACGATCAGGTCTTTAGTGCCCCTCTCATAAATATGAGCAAACGTCCAAGGATCCCCAGACATTTGAGGAAAGCACCTGATATGAAAAAGAGATCAAAACAAACACAAAAAAGGCAACTCCGAGAAACAAAGATAACGTAAGAAAAATTAAAAAAAAAAACACAAAAAAAACCCAGTAATAACATAAAACAAAACTATTGTTTCATCCCCTCAGATACAAAAAAAGAGTATATCCATAAACTAAGAACAGGTATATTAAAAACCAGAATATTCAAGAAACCAAAGAAAGTCTAAAAATAGAAGAAACGAAAACTTAGTAGAAATTTAGAGTAGAGGCTGGCAAACGATAGCCATGAGGCCACATCTGGCCCACCGCCTATTATTATAAATACAACTCAACTGTACAGGCATAGAGCCCATCCATTTGTACCATACATGGCTGCTTTCACATTACAGTGGCAGAGCTGGAGAGCTGCTTAAGAGACTGAATGGCCTGCAAAGCCTAAAATATTGACTATCTGGACATTTACAAAAAGCTTTTCCAATTCCTGTTGAAAACCGAGCAACTCTCCAGAAAGAGCAGAAAGAGATGGAAACACAAAAGAAAAAAAAAAAAAAAACACCGACCAAATAAAAGGGCCAACAATCAACTAGTAGGAATTCCTGAAAGGCAGAACAGGGAGAACAGAAGAAAGGAAATTAAAACATTCAAAAAAAAAAAAGGAGAGAAAAAAGTGTCCTAAATCAAGATAATATTTCCATATTGAAAAATACCGATGGATGACTTAACATAAATCCTAAATACTGACTTAAGTAGAATTTGAAGCAGACTGAACTGCAAGTATTTTTCTTTTTTTAAAAAATACATACACTGAGAAGAAGAGAGGGACAGATGGAGTGTGAGAGAACACTCGCATAGGGTCGGCGGTGGAAGGTCAGGAGGAGCTTAGTTCTTATCTTCCGTGGTGAGAAGTCATCTTCGAAGACCTACAACTGAACTAACCCAGAAGTATCCCTGCAGCACGTTATTTAGAGACAGAAGGCAAAGCCTGAAAGGATGAACTTAACGAGCAGTTCTCTCTACGGAGAGGGAATGCGGGAGGGAAGTCTGAGGGGCTGGTTTTTCCTAACTGACTTTTTAGAACCATTTGACTTTTGTCACATGCGTGTAAAATGCATGATGAAAACGGAAATGTCCTAAACTGTGACATAAAAGTCTGGCTCAAAAACCACACTAGATAGTTCTTCATAAACCAGGAAGATCAGGAAGGTTTGCTCAATGAGAAAGCATGAATCTTATTTAATTTTTGGACACCATCCACAATATACTAAGAGCTACCAGAGATGCCAATTTTTAAAAATTTATCAGGGCAAGACTGTTGACAACTGAGTTAACTGCAGCTGAATCCAGTTAAACTGAGGCTGATATATTGACAGAAAGCCTTCGGTCACTGGAACACCCCAAAGGAGTTATGGAAACAGTGCTCAGTTTAATTCTTTCAGTGAGCCACACCTGGTCTGGAACATGCCTTAAATCACTACTGTAAGGAAGCGCTTTACCTCGGGTCTTCTGGGCCACAGCAATCCCTTCCACTACCAGGACTGTTATTAGCAACACTAGAGAAACAACAGAAAGCAGAAGTTAAAAAATTGAACTGACAGTATGTTTTCCTAAATCTGTAAGGAAAATCAGATGAAATGAAAGACAAACCCCGTATTTCTTAATCGCATTCCCTCTAACGATTTTTAAGCGGTCAACCTTGTTACTAGTCGACGCTTAAGACAACTCCAGAAAAGCAGAGATTGTGTACTTATTTATACAAGGACTAATGATACACAGCACTTAAGGCATTTATTTTTCAACTTGTGATAGATTTTTTAAAAACACTTTTTTTTTTGCAACAAACTTTGCTGGCCCTAACTATTCCAGTATTTACTGTACTCCATCTCAGAGTTTACACGCCTCCCAGCTGGCTCTGCCGTGTATCCTGCCCGTGAAAGTGCCATCAGAGTACCTGACTTGTGAGGATGTCACGACAAAGACAGAAGGAAGGGGACGCGCTCTCCCAGAAATCAACTCGAGATGTTTTACAGTCGTGCAGAACTATGCCGTGCCCTGCGTTACAAACGCCAGGCATATTAGAAAGCCAAGCTCTCCCCCCAAGCTGTTATCAGGGAACATTTCTGGGATCCAATCAAGAACATACTGAATTGTTCTGTGTGTGTGTTTTAAAGATTCCTTTGAACAGTTTACTTTTACGAAAGGCACACGGGCAACTTCCACTGTCACCACACTACCCGTGTGGCCCGAATTCCTGCGTCAACTTAGAATATCTCCCAATAGCTGGCACTATCTAATTAACGTAAACCCCAAATACTGACTTGACCGGAATGATTAAGAGATACAGCACGATGGTTAACAGTATGGCCTTCAGGAGTCAGACGGATCTAGGTTTGGGTTTCGCTTTTGCCATGTACCGCTTGTGAAGCCTTTTCAGCTCAGCTTGTTTGTAAAATGGGGATGGTGTACTAACAGTACCAATCTCCTAAGACTGTGGTGAAGATTAGATGAGAGCTGAGCACAGTATTTTTAGGTGCCAGGCATTCTGCTAAATAAAAGATATCAGGACAAACTACCCTGCCAAAGACGATCTACAGTACAAGGTGAAAAGAAGCTTAACAGGAAGAATACAGAAAGCACAACGAGAGCGCGGAGGAGACCATTCACTCCCTTGGGAGGTGGGAGGTTAAGAGGAATAGGATGAGAAAAACTTCAGAAAAAAG